AATAAGAGATATATATATATATATATATATATATATATATATATATATGTATCCTTGTAATCAAATGGGTATCCTTTGTTTTGATTAGAAATTTTACACATTCTGTTAGATGTTTGATTCATGTTTGAAACTACATGTCAGCTAACTCTCATTAGAGTATTAGTAGTAGAGTGTTAAGTTTTGGTCAGGGTTAGTAGAATAAGTCGGCATGTACTTGCAAAGTTACTTACATTTACATTTACATTTAGTCATTTAGCAGACACTTTTATCCAAAGCGACTTACAAATGAGGACAATAAAAGCAGTCAAAACTAACAAAATATCAACAATATATAAGTGCAAATGACAAGTCTAGGTTAGCCTAATGCAGTACACGTAGCAAGATATATATATTATACACACACACATATACACATACACACACACACACACACACACACACACACAAAGAAAAACAAGTAGATAGAATAGAAAAAAATAGAAAGCTAGTGTTTTTTTTATAAAAAAGAAGATAAATAGATAAAGTAGAATTAAAATAGAATAGAAAGTACTAGAGTTAGAGGGTCAAATAAAGATGGAACAGATGTGTTTTTAGTCATTACTTGAAGATGGCTAAGGACTCAGCTGCTCGGATTGAGTTCGTAAGGTTATTCCACCAGGAGGGAACAGTTAATGTAAAAGTCTGTGAAAGTGATTTTGTGCCTCTTTGAGATGGCATAATAATACGTCATTCACTTTCAGAACGCAAGATTCTAGAGGGCACATAACTCTGAAGTGATGAATTTAGGTAAAGGGGTGCAGAGCCAGTGGTGGTTTTGTAGGCAAACATTAATGCCTTGAATTTTATGTGAGCAGCTACTGGTAGCCAGTGCAAATTGATGAACAGAGGTGTAACATGTATTCTTTTCGGCTCATTAAAGATTAATCTTGCAGCTGCATTTTGGATTAATTGTAGAGGTTTGATAGAAGTGGCTGGAAGACCTGCCAAGAGAGCATTGCAATAGCCCAGCCTGGATAGAACAAGAGCTTGAACAAGGAGTTGTGTTGCGTGTTCTGAAAGAAAGGGCCTGATCTTCCTAATGTTGTATAAAGCAAATCTGCAGGACTCTCTTCAAATGCAACTAAATAAATTTTTTTTTTAAAAACTGTATTTAAATACCTGTAACTTATATTGGGTTTCTTCTTTAGTTTGAAATTAAAGCAGGTTTCTGTAGTTTTAGCAATGTGGGCTGAGAAATTCAACTTATCATCAATCACAACTCTAAGGTTTCTAGCTGTTTTTGAAGGAGTTATGGTTGATGAGCCTAACTGGATGGTGACATTTTCATAAAGTGATGGTTTTGTTGAAACCACAAGCAGTTCTGTCTTAGCCAGGTTGAGTTGAAGGTAATGGTCCATCATCCAACAATAAATGTCTGTTAGATGCTCCAGCCTGCGATGCGAGCAGCTATCGTCGGATCATCAGGATGGAATGAGAGGTAGAGTTGAGTGTCATCAGCATAGCTTTGATATGAAAAGCCATGTTTCTGAATGACAGAACCTAGTGATGCCATGTAGACAGAGAATACTACTTATAGTCAGTAATTGCCTGTTAAGGGAACCATCAAAATAAAGTGTTGACAATCAAACCCTTGACCTCAACCAGTTAAGCTTCTTTCCCTCTTCATAATGATCTACACATCATGTGAGGTTTGATGGGTGGATATACAGCTCTCAGTGCCACCGGTGTTATTCTGTTATCTTTAGGACTATCACTGCACTTGCTGATAACAGTAACATTTAAGAGCACAGAGGAGTTGCTCTTCCGTCTAGAACACAAAAGACCCTGAAAAACTCCTTGAGCTCTCTTCCTGAAGTAGCTCCCTACAATGACATACAAGAAAGGGTTTATCGCGCTATTGCTATACCCTAAATAAGTAGCCAGCTGGTTGCCTATTTGCAATATGTGCTCCCAGAGACACCCAGAAAAGAACTGAAAGTAGTTAAGAGTTTCTAGGAACCGCAACAACTGAAATGGCGTCCAGCAGAGGAGAAACACGGCGAGGACTGTCAGAACCAGCCGAGCAGCCTTCCTCTCCATTTGAACTCTCGGTTGAATCACCAGACCACGTTTTTTAAGCGCTTTGACAATGTGAAAAGTACAAAGTGAAATAATTGGCAGCGGAACCAGGAACCCAATGAAGTTTTTCGTGAGGTTCCATTGGAGAACCCAGGCTGGATGAGGGTATGCTAGGTAACAGGCTTCCACCTCTACGAAGGGAACAAAACTTACTCTTCGGAAGAGCAAAGTTGGGAGGCTGAGCATGAATCCCACCGCCCAAATCATCACACAGATATGCTTGGCCCACTTGGGGCATCTGAACTTACTGGGATTCATGGGTTTGGCCAATGCAAGGTAGCGGTCCATGCTGACCAACACTAGGAAGAGTATGCTGCAGTAGTAGTTCATCGAAATGGCAGTGTTGATCACCTTGCAGAGCAGCTGACCAAAGTTCCACTGATAGCCTTGGGAGATGGTGACCGTCCAGAAGGGTAAACACAGGACCATAATGAGGTCTGCAGCTGCCAGGTTGCCCAGATACACATCAGCTACGGTGCACGGCTTCCGCTGGAGGCAGAACACGCAGAGAACCAGACTGTTGCCCACCACTCCCAGGATGCTGATAAGAGCCAGAAATGGAGGCTGGAGAGACGACAGCCATATCCAGGCGACTGTGTCATTGCAGAGGAGGTTTGATGAATTTAGTTCCATTGGGACACTGTGAAATATTAATTGATATTGTAAATTAGCATTCCATTTAAACTGTATTTAAAAATTATTTTAAATGTACACTGCAAAAAAAAAGTGTAAATAAAACAAAGAGTATGATTTACAAGAAAATACTACTTCAGTCTTTCAAAATATTAATTCAATGTGTTACTTGCTGCTTCTTTGTAATTAATTGAGAAATGTACAAGCAATTTCTG